GGGACTGGATTAGCCATCTCAGGTATGAGGCTGGAGGTGTGGGTTGTCTTGCAGAAGCTTGAAAGGCGGTAGTGGTGGAGGGCAGAGGCGAGGGAGGGGTTAATTTCTACTGTGCTGCTCCCCTCTCAGTGCTTGGAAAGGCCTGTAGCAGGGCCTGCTGGGAAAATGGTGGGCTGGAGCAGGAGGAGAGAAGATGGAGCTAGAAGCAGGAGGAGGGGGAGGGAGGGAAGGGGTGGAGTTAGGGGAGTTCTAGGCCTGACGATCGATCGGATCAAGCCGTGGCCTAGTTGAAAAACTTTTGACTATTAGAAACCCGAATTAGAAATGGCTAGTCGCTATGGAAACCCATCTCCTGGCTGCTGGTCAGTTTGGCAGTTGTTTTGTTTCCTTGCTTTTCTAGGAATAATTTATTCCAAAAGAAGTTAATAGTAAAATACTCAACATGCAAACATCTTGTGACGACAATGAAGGAAAGCCACAGAACATGCCAAAGGCAGAGGAAGATCACCCTTCAGATGGTGGGCCTCTGGAGGCGGGAGGAGAGCCGCAACCCTCTGCTGAAGTTGTTAGCCAGGAAGCACAAGGAAACCTTGGAGGAGGGCAGGCCCAGCCTGGCCAGAGTTTTAAAGAGGACACTCCCGTTAGGCACTTGGACCCTGAGGAAATGATAAGAGGAGTAGATGAGTTGGAAAGGCTTAGGGAAGAGATAAGAAGAGTAAGAAACAAGTTTGTGATGATGCATTGGAAACAAAGACATTCTCGAAGCCGCCCTTATCCGGTGTGCTTCAGGCCTTGATTTCATTGCCTGATAATTAAGATCTGGCCCCTGCTTTCTTTTTGTTAACATTTTTTCTGATGTATCTTTGACCTTCATTTTTACTTTTCATGATCTGGTGGTATTTTGTTTTAGTTAGTTTACCTTGTTACCAGCATATCATTAGAGTTTGTATTTTAATGTTTCCCAGGTTTGCTTTTCAGTTGGTAAGTTGTCACACGTAGGCATGGGAAGATGTTCGTTGCATAAAGTAAAACACTACAGATTTCAAAGCAGCATATTTAGTATCAGCTCCCATACGTAGGCTAAAATCCCCAAATTGTGTATGTGTGTGTGTACATACATATATCAAAATTTTACCTGTGCTTATTTCTATGTGGTGTGAGCTCTTGTTTTTCTGCTTCTTATTTGTATTTTTTAAGGAACACATTACTGTGTCAGACAAAAATAATTAAAGTTTTTTTAATAAGATTTGATCAAATAATTTGCAACTAGCTTACAATGGTACTGGGGGCACTTAATCTCTTCATGATCAAACTATTAAAAATGTAAATGTCAAATTACCTCAGGATCTCTTTTCCAGAGGAATAAAACTGGCAATTATTACTCTCATTTATACTCATTGAAGACTCAGTCTTTTCGTGGGAAAATAATTTCATGGGAAAACCCCACAGGATTGCTAAGGGAAATAAAAAACTGGGAGCTGTGTTTGGTGGGCTTTTGGTCCCACCTGGCCATACAGGACCCTAACCCACTGGAGAACCATTAGGGTTTTAAGGGTAGACACTATCGTGACTCAACTTGTGCTGAGCTTCAAACAAATTCCGAAGGCTTCCATGTGATCCCCCTGCCATTGAGCCCTACCCCTGGAACCTGCCATGCCTGCTGAGCATAGCTCCGTTATCTGCTGGGTCCTTTGCTGTTCTACTCTACTGGTGCCCAAACTCCATTGGGTTCTCTTGGGTGCCCAGTGAGCTGAACCCCGCTCTTCTAAGGCCTCTACTTTATAGTCACATGACATAGGTGGGTACTGGCCCTTGATAACTTCACAGATCAGAAGAGCCCTCCCTTCTATAGGGCACAGAAGTGATGAGCTTATTAGGGAGTGGGATAGAGGTTGCAGTTTGAGTGACAGGATTCTGTAGCCAGAGTTGACACCTTAGGTCTATGGTTCTGCCTGTTTCACCAGGCTCTCAGCGGGCTTGGGTAACGTTTACAAGGTGATGCAAGGAACAGCTCTTAAAAACAGCCCCTTTGCCACAGCCCAACCCTACTTGAAATGTGGAACAAAACTTTAACCAAGACACAGTACACTATATTTTTAAAAACATTTTATTAGGAATTAGGTGAAAGTCCACATAGCAGATCATCAGTTCTACATTGAATAATTCATACATACTTTGTCTCAATTCCATTGCAATTCCTTCAGTGTATCATCACTTAATGTACTTACTGTGTTTTCTGTTTTCCTTCCTTTCTAGCTGAACTGTGTCCTCAGGTAGATACCCTTCTGATCTTGAATGGTTGATTTCTCTAACATGGGCTGAGTTCACTTTTAGACCTGAAAGGGGGCACCAAAGGCCTTTGTCTTTGGGGAGGTCTCACTGGTCTCTGACTAGTAAGCTTGTTCTTAAGATTTTGAGTTCTGCCCCACATTGGTCTCCTACTCTATCCAGGACCTTCTAATGCGATCCTTTTGAGAGTAGTTGGGAGTGATAGCTAAATACCATCTAGCTCTGAAGTACCGTATATACTCGAGTGTAAGCCAACCTGAGTATCAACCAAGGCACCTAATCTTACCACAAAAACTGCATTAAAAAAGTGCTGAAAAACTTGGCTTATACACAAGTATATATGGTACATTCGTTTACTGGAGGTAGAATGGACTTCTGTAGATTTTAGTGATTATGATTCCCCAGTAGAATGAACAAAACCAACTGGTTTCTTCTAGTTATCCTCACATTTTAAGTGTTTTAATACTTGATTTTTAAATTATTACTAAGGAGCCAGAGGTATTGTCTAAAATCTGTCACCGATGAATAATCATCTATAAATCTTTTTCTCTCGAGCTATGACAGGCAGCTGAGTGAGTTGTGCCCCCCTCTCCCCTAACACAAAAACCGGCATCAGGGTCATCAGGGGGAACATCTTTCACATGCTGATTCCTAGACCTTACCCAAGACCCACTGACTCTGGAGGTGGACTGGATAAACAGTGTACAGAGATGTGCACAAGCAGAGGCACGGTGGTTCTACAACTCGAGGAAGAGGTTGCCACTGCCTGTTTAAACACCTAGATGTACCGCATGCCCAGGCCAGGGCAGTCAAACTGAATTGGCATGAAAAAACCTTTTGGGGACATGGTTGGTGGAGAAAGCAAGGTCATCGTGAGCTGTGCATTTTAGGGCTATCACCTGAAGAACAATTGCTAAAGGGTTAGTTGGGCAATAAGGTGACAAAAAACCCCAAATCCTTGGGTTCAGCAGAGTGTTTAAGGATTATGACCTTGGAGTCAGATAAACCTGGACGGCAATTTGGGCTCTTCCCTTTATCAGTCTGTGACCTTGCATACATCACTTCACCTCTGAGCCCTAGTTTACTCCTCTATATGGAGAGGATAATGACACCCACCTCTTGATTGTTTGGCAGAATTAAAGGAGTAAGAAATATATAAACAGTGCTGATGTGTGACTTCCAGGTCAAAGTATAGAAAACTGGGTATGAGGCCTATGTGTACTCTCTGCTGCAGAGAGTAGCTATGTCCTGATGTGGCATCAACATTAGTTTGGGTCTCTGAGACTAGGAAGAACAGTGCCTCTCCATTACCTGCCCCAACCAAGTCTGAGTAGTACATCTTTGTTGTGTTAAACCACAGAGGCTTTGTGGTTAACTACTCTAGCATCAGCCTAATCTACCTTGAAAAAACTCACAAGTAGATCTCAAAATTAAGCAACCAAAATAGTTGGAGATACTTAAAAAGATGCTGGTCTGTGCAGAAGCTAGACAAGGGGGCACACTTCCAAGTGAATTCTTTTAAAGCTGTATAATTAATTTTTTTTTAAAAAAACCAACCTTATCACCATCAAAGTACTCTCCATTACACTTAATACATTTGCCAAATCTGTGATTCCATTCTTGGAAACACTTTTCAAACTCATCTGTTTGGATTGCTGACAGCACCTCCCTCATTTTTTACTTCACCTCTTCTATGTCATCAAATCGCTGTCCTTTCATGTCCCTCCACATTCAAGGAAATGTGTCTCATGGAGCAATATCAGGTGAGTAAGGTGCGTGGGACAAGAGAGGTATGCTGTTTTTTGCCAAATACTGGTGCACTGTCTGGGGGCTTAAAGACTTGAAATTAAACAAGTGGCCATCTAGTAGGGAAGCAACAAAGCCCACATGGAAGAAACACACCAGCCTGTGTGATCATGAGGTGTCAACTGGATCAGGTATCAGGTATCAGAAGACCCCAAACAATCATATTGATGTGAATAAGGGGACTCAGTGAATACCCAAAGCCCATCTGTAGATATTAGACATCCCCTCATAGAAGGATCACAAGGAAGAGTCAGCCAGAATGCAGTATAGCACCTATGAAACACACTATCCCTCTAGTCCTTTGATGCATCCTCCCATCCACTATCATGGGAGTAGCAATACCATGAGGTTAGGGGAAAGGGGGGGGAGAAAGGGGTGGAACCGATCACAATGATCGATGTTTAACCTGCCCCCCCCACCTCCATAGGGACAAACAGCAGAAACGGGGGAAGGGAGACTGATTGATGTAAGATATGAAAATAATATTATTTATAATTCATCAAGGTGTCAAGGAGGGAAAAAAGCTGATACCAAGGGCTCAAGTAGAAAGTGTTTTGAAAATGATGATGACAGCATATGTACAAATGTGCTTCATAAAATTGATGTATAGATTTTTATAAGAGCTGTAAGAGCCCGCAATAAAATGATATATATGTAGATAAACACACACACATATATAAATCTTTTCAGGAACAGAAAACCTCATATTTCTCCTTCAGAGCAGCTGGTGGGTTCAAGTTGGTGACCTTGTGACTAGCAGCCCAGCTAGTAACCTGCCACTCATAACCAGGCCTTCTGAACTATACCTAGGGGATCGGAAAAAGATAGTGTGGATAATTGGTGAGAAAGAATTCCTCAATTATTGTATCAGAAAGTCAATAGAAAATGGCTAAAACGAACAAATCAAGAAATAACAGTTACAGTCATATATCTAATAAGGGACCTGTTTCAAGCACATGAAGAATTCTTTTTTATTTTAAATCATTTTATTGAGGACTCTTACAGCGTTTATAGCATTCCATACATCAATTGTATACAGCATATTTGTACATATGTTGCTATCATCATTTCTAAAACTTTTTCTTTCTACTTGAGCCCTTGGTATAAACTCCTCTTTTTTCCCCTCCCTCCCCAAACCTCCTACCCTCGTGAATCCTTGTTATAATTATTTCAATTTTACACTGCCCATTGTCTCCCTTCGCCCACATTTCTGTTATTCGTCCCCAAAGAGGGAACCCATCACAAAGTTAGATATAAAGAATTCTTAAAGCTTTTTCTGTTTGCCAGAGAAACTTCCGGGGTTGCTGTGACTGTCTTGGCCTGTCTGAGGCAGTGCAGCTCTCTAGGGACATGTGAAAAGAAAAAAAATTCTTATAACTGAACACTAATGAGACAATTCAATTAAAAAATTAAAAAATGGATTTTAATAGGGGTGTCTCTAAAGAATGTATACAGATAATAAACACATGCACAAATGCTCAGTATCATTAATCAAATGCATTTCTTTGCATTAAAATTCCAAGCTCATGGTCATTGAGTCCATTTTGACTCATGGTGACCCTATAGGGTAGGGTAGAGCTCCTCGTGTGAGTTTCCAAGATTGTAACTTTTTTTTAACAGTTTCCTTAGCACTTCATCCACATGTCATACAATTCAATAATTCAATCATCAAGATTTGGGCTATCATTGCCACAATTCTAGAACATTTTCTTCTTCCTTGTACTCATTGTGGCAAAAATATACACAACACATTATTCTTCAGTTCAACAACTTTCACATGTTGAATTCAGTGCAAATGTTGATATCCTTTTTCCAAATTATTCCACCACCATTAACATAAACTCAATGCCCCAGAAGCCAAGACTCTTTCTCATTCACCCATGGTAACCACTGGGTAAATTTGGTTTCTTTTTTTTTCTCAGTAGTTTTCTTGATAGTATATTGACATATCGTACACTTCCATAGTTAAATTGCTTTTAAAAAGAGTTGTATACAAAAAAGGAGTTGTGTATAAATGGGTGTATAAGCAAATGTGAAGGAAGCTGATGGTGCCTGGCTATCAAAAGATATAGTTAGTGTCTGGGGTCTTAAGGCTTGAAGATAAACAAGTGGCCATCTAGCTGAGAAGCAACAAAGCCCACATGGAGGAAGCACGCCAGCCTGTGTGATCATGAGGTGTCAAATGGGATCAGGTATGAGGCATCTAAGACCCAGAGCAAAACAAACAAACAAAAAATCATATCAATGGGAATAAGAAGGAGGGGAGAGTAGAGACCCAAAGCCCATCAGTAGTCAATTGGACACTCCCTGTCAGAAGTGCCACAAGGAAGAGATGAGCCAGTCAGGGTGCAGTATAGCACTGATGAAACACACAACCTTCCTCAAGTTCTTTAATGCTTCCCGGCGCCCCCCCCCACCCCACTATCACAAATCTGGTTAGACCAGAACATGTATACTGGTACAGATAAGAACTCGCAACATAGGAAATTCAGAACAGATAACCCCCCTAGGACCAATAATGGGAGCAGCGATTCTAGGAGGGTAAGGAAAGATGGGGGCGGGCAGGGGGGTGGGGGGGGGAGAAAGAGGGAACCTATTACAATAGTCAGTGTATGGCCACCTCCCAGGGGGATGGACAGCAGAAAAGTGGGTGAAAGAAAACAGCGGTTGGTGTAAGGCATGGGGGAAAAGAAAGAATAACGTATAAATTATCAAGGGGACATGGGAGAGGGAAGGTAGGGGAGGGAGGAAAAATAAAATGAGCTGACACCAAGGGTTCAAGTAGAAAGAAAATGTTTTGAAAAAGATGATGACAACATATGTAGAGATGTGTTTGACACAATGGATATATGTATGGATTGTGATAAGAGCTGTAAGATCCCCCAATTAAAAAAAAAAGAGTTGTATATAAATCAATACAATCAATTCTAATGCTCCCTCCCCCTCCTGAATTCACTGTTTGCTCCCAAATCCCCTCACCCTCAGCACCCCCTCTCCCAAATCCCCTCACCCTCAGCACCCCACACTTCCCTGATAAACCGTTGCAACCAGTTATTGTGTCTGTGTATCCACACTTTCTGTACCTCACAAACTGGGAAACCCATTAGAAAGAAAAGTAAAACAAAACAGGAAGAAGAAAATAATAGTAATAATATAATGATAAAAGACAATAATCAGTATTTCAAAAGCCAGAGAAGAAATTTTTGTCGTGGAACAAGCAAGAAATATTTGAGCCTAGAGCAAATTCAGGTTGAGTCAAGAGGAATGTCAAATGACCTATACCATGGTTCAATCCACCATAATCAAGTTTACAATGACCTCTGATAGTCAAGCTGTTTGAGTCCCTCGCTTGTGGCCAGAGGGGATCTTTGAGAGACTTAATCTGACTAGATAGTCTGCAGATAGAATTGGGTTCCCACTGTCCTCCATAGCCTTCTACAAATTGTGTGTGTTCACAATTTAAGCTCTGATACTTTCCCCTTCATCACATTTGGACTTTGTTATCATCCTCTTCAGATCACACAGGCGGGTGTGCTTCTTCAATGTGGAATTAGTTGATGCCTCACTTACATGGCTGCTTGTTTGAATACAAGCTTTTAAGATCCCAGACAATATTCCAAGTGATAGCTGGTACCATCTGCGTTCTTCACCACACTTTTCTGTAGCACCCTTATCTTTAGTGATCGCTCCTTGAAGGAGAGTATCGAGCATGGCCATGTTATCATAACTGACTCTTCTTGGATTGGGGCTAGAATTAAGTGGGAGCCCAGAATTCATCTGCCTGACCATGGGTTATGAATGGCTCTGGTTTACTTTGGCAGTGTATTATGACAAAGACAAAAGCAAAAGCCAAGAAGAACAAAAACCAACAAGCAAACACACACACACACACACACACACACACACACGAAACAAAAAGGAAAAACACTGTCAATCATCCCTCTGGGATATAAGGCGATTGCATTGATAACATATATAATTTATCCAATGGCATAGAATTTAAGGTACTTTTGAGATGAGTTTATGTGAGTATAATCTAATTATGAGCTGCAATCTATCAGCTGTTGCTTTGTACAGATTCATTTCTTAATTGATTGGAGTCTGTTTACATTGAGCTTGGGGGTTGGTACTAGGGGAAAATTTCCTGTATCAGTTCTTTCATGTATAGATTCTTGTGTATCAGATCAAAACCTGTCATATTAATGCAAGGGGAGCATTGAGGTGCTAAATATATGTTGGTTCTAGATCCCCTTTCATCGGACACCCATTAAGCCAGGATTCCCACCAAAGGTCCAGTGACTGCCATTTCCACAGTCTTGGGGTGGCCATCCTTTGCTTCCTCTCCCATCAGTATTTCAGTCTTAAGTCCAAGGGTACAGGTAGTTTTGAGGTAGGGCCCAGTTCATTCAGTCGGGTTTCCATGTTAAGTCCTTCTGGTGTGTCCCTTGGGGATGCTATAAAGCCAGCGTCTAAGGTGATCATAGTGCTTAATCCATGGTGTGGTTCACTGAGGGATGGGTAGAAACATATTCATAGTGAAAAATTTAACTCTTTAAGAGAATAGAAAGCCTTATCTTTCTCCCACAGAGCGACTGGTAATTTGGAACTGCTGACTTCACATAACAACTACACCACCAGGATTCCCTTCTTCGCATTGGGGGGATGCAAATAAAATATGCAATGTGGGAGCATTGCACACCTACTCGGATCATATCATCAAAAAGTGAGAAAATAGCAATGTGGGCAAGTAGGTGGAGATATCAGATATAATATATACACTGCTGGTGGGAACTAAATTTGTAAGTTCCTCAAAGAAAAAATTAAACAATAGTTTTACCATATGACTCAGACATTCCACGTCTATGTATATGTACATACTCAAGATAATTGAAAACACAGGTATACACAAAAATTCATTCACGAATGTTCTGTACTGATACAGGCTACAAATATTGTTAAACTTTGAAATTCAGGAGCCAGACACGAGAGGCCACATATTGTATGGTCCCATTTATAGGAAATGTCCATAACAAGAGAAATTGATGGGAAGAGAAGGTAGATTGGTGTGTCTTATTAGGCACTGGAAGGAAGGGCAGATGGTGGAATGACTTCGTGCTTCCTACTGAAGCTTCTTTGCAGGGTGACAAAAATGTTTTGGAACCAGGTAATGTTTCTCAATTAACAGAAGTATTTCTCAATTCTATTAATACACTCTGAACCACTAAATTGTACACTTTAAAAGGGTGAATTTACTGATGTGTGAATTATATCTCCATGAAGTTGTTGAAAAAGGAATGCCAGTATAAGCATAGTCTTCAGAAATGTAGAGAAAGAAGGAAAATGTTTATAGTAGTTAACCATGGGAAATGGGAATGTGACATGGCGAGGAAGACTTTAGCTTTGGACACTAAACGTTGTTTGCATGCATCCCTTAGAGAAAACCCAAATAATTTAAAAGCAAAAGACACACATACTTATATACACATCATGGGGGACAAGCCAGACGAGATTCTCATGCCATAGATCTGAGGCGGGAACCAGGATTCTGCATTTTAAAAAAAATTTCAACATATTTTTTAAATCGTTTTATTGGGGCTCATACAATTCATCACAATACATAGATCAATTGTGTAAAACACACCTATACATTTGTTGCCCTCATCATTCCCTAAATTTGCTTTCCTCTTGGGTTCCCGGAATCAGCTCATTTTCCTTTGTTCCCTCCCCCCCCTCCCCCATGAACCCTTAATAATTTTTAAATTATTATATCTTATATTACCCTGCCCGGCATCTCCCTTCACCCACTCCTCTGTGGCCCGGCCCCCAGAGAAGAGGTTATTTGTAGATCCCTGTGATCACTTTCTACCTCCCCCCCCCACTTCCCTCCTGGTATCGCCACTGTCACCCCTGGCCCTGAGGGGTTCATCTGTCCTAGATTCTGCATTTTTAATAAGATAGCTTGATGATTCTGCCACAGGTGGTGTGCTAGTAACTAGTGAACTCCAAGAAACACTAGTATATCCAATGTTAAAATTATTTTGCAGTGAATTATGGTAAAATCCCTCTCTTGTTGCGGGAAAGAGGTGAGGGAGCACTCATCTATATTGGGGAACAAATTCAGGTAGGTGTGCTCCTTTTGGAGTAGCAAGTTTCAGCTGCTAAGACATGAAAGTATGTGCTCTACATGCTTTAATAAGGGGGAGAAGTTGACCCCACACTGAAGTTTTCTGACTCAATCATAGTTAATGTATTGAGGTTTTAAAGCTATGTTCTGTGTGGACTAAAATCACTTAGATAAAAGATTTGAAAAGGGCACGTCTAGTAGGGTAATTATAATGCCTGGCAAATGTATTGCTTAAGATTTCACTTTCTCCTTTTTAGATGCGCAATCTCTACCAATAAGGCAATAATAAACTCAAATAATCAAGTTGAAAAACAAACAAACAAACAAAAAATTTCACTTTCTCATATTTCATGTCAGGTTTGACATAAATATAAAATGAGAAGAGGTGCCTTTTCCATATTTCAATAGGGAGTGTAGTGGGTATTTAGTTCATTGGAGACAACATGGAAACCAATGGGGTTTTGTCACCTTGAGGGCGCCAGCACATCAGTCCTTACAGCAGTTCAAAACCATAGAGAAGGACACAGTACCATGGCCCTGCCTAAGATATAATGGCACCCACCTCTCAAATACAAAAACACCAAAACAAACTGACCCCCATCGAGTCGATGCCGACTCATAGCGACTCTATAGGATAGGGTAGAACTGCCCCTGTGAGTTTCCAAGTCTAGCTCTTTATGGGAGTAGAATGTTCCATCCTCCACAGAGACACTGGTGGTTTTGAACTGCCAACCTTGCAGATCACAGCCCAATGTGTACCTAGTATGCCACCAGGCCTCCTATCTACCCATCAGCTGCCTTGAATTGTTCCTGGATATGAATGAGGTCTCTCTTACCTCTCCATCCTCCAAGTGTCTAATGGAGTGCTTCCAATACAAGGGAGGAGGTAGGAGTCAGCGCCAAACAACTCATACATTTAGTATCTAATCTGGTCCCCTCAGTAGTCCTGAGAGGCAAGTAGTATTCCCATTTTCCAGGTAAGAAGATGGATCTGTGGTAACTGCCAGGTGACCCCTCCACTGCAAGTCTCACAGTAATATGAGTGAAACCTGTCATTTTATGTTCTAATACTAAGACTTTTAGGTGGTCCCACTGCTTTCATAAATTCATTGACCAGTGCTCTTGGTCCAGCTACTTACATGTTGTTAGAAAATATTTTGATTTTCTTTTATTAGGTTTTTTTGGACAAACGTAATCGGTGCTTTGTTGGGGAGGGGGAAAAGTACAGGTGAGAAAAAGGGAAATGTCTTATTCCACCATGCAGACAGAGAAAGCCATTATTTCCCTGTTGGTATTCATACTTTCATAATTTCCCTGGTGCTCGAATGTATTCCACGCACAGAAAAGTTTACAAAAATGGGCTGATACTGTATATGCAGGTTTACAAACAGTTTATTCACATTTTACAAGGTACCGTGAACATCTCCCCCATGCACATGGGTGAAAGCCCTACTGACACACAGAGCGCTGCAGTGGGGTCCAAGGCTGCTGGTAACAAGAGTGACACCTGAAGCAAGGTAAGTATCAGCACAGGTTAGAGCACAGAGCCTGGCAGAAGCCTGCCAGGGAAAGCAGGGCTGGCACGATTCCCATCTGAGAATCAGAATGGAAAGGCAACGGGATTAAAGGTAGGGGACATCTTGTAAGTCTTTTTGGCCCCTACCTCCGCCCCTGACTCCTCTGACCCCCCGCTGGCCCCTAGGGGGGAAAGGATCCTGGACCTCTCTTTGCAACCAATGAAAGCCACCGGCTTTCTGCTTTTTCCTTAGCTCTTCCTGAGCCCTTGACGCGTCACCACATTCTCTCATCATCATCTCCTCGCTGCTCAAGTGCCTTTCGTGTAAGTCCTCCTGAGAGTCCCTGGGGGAATCATCGGTGCCCCTGTCCGTTTTCCTTTTGGCTTTCCTGGGCACGTGATCTTCAGCGGGGCGCTTTTCGGAGGCCCGGGCCTCGCTCTCGGGCTTCCGCTGGGCCTCCCCTTGAGGAGTGCCCTCATCTCCTGGCTTTCCCTGCTGAGTCTCCTGCTCTCCCTCTGGCTGCCCCTCAGCCCCCGCCTCTCCCTCACCACCTGCCTTCCCCTGGCATTCTGCCTTCCTCTCCACCTCCGGCCGGGCCGCCTCTTCGGACTTCCCTTCCTCTTCCGGCTCTGCTTCATCTTCTGGCTTGCTTTCCTTTTCCAAGTTTCTTTCATTTTCTAGTTTTCCTTCATTTTCTTTGTAGAGCTTTTCCATGTTGAGATTTCCTTCTTTGCCTGTCCTAGGAGATCAAGGAGAATGAAGGCTTAAGGGGTGGGATTGATTGTCTCAACGGACCTTTGCCTTTTCTGGCTCGGGGCTTTCCTGACTCTATTCCACCTTCTAAGTACAATCCTACTCTTCTTTCCTCCTTCCCTCCCCACTTCTTCCATGTTCCTAAGAGCCAAAGGTTGGAAATCTTCACAGGTGCTCTACCCATGTTTAAGTGGGGTGCACTGAGAAGTGGGTAGGAGCCTTTTCCCCTCTAACCTTTGTGCTAGCCTAGGCTATGCCTTCTGGGCCAGTTCCTTCTTTTCACCTTTGCCTGCAGTTGTAAGACACAGAGCTGCCAACATGGCCTGGTCTGCTTTCAGAGCTCTTGTCTACACTCCTCCCTCCCTTCTTCTCCGCTCTGTCATCACTATGATTCCTTAGGGACCTGGCACTCCAATAGCGAAGCCCCCAACAGTAGCAGGACCATCAGGTAGTGGCTTCTTCAACTTCTGCTCTGCCTTAATGTACTCTTACCCCAGGGGTCCTGGGGCAGTTGCCCTCTTGCACTGACCTGGGCTGATACAGCAGGTCTCTTCTTTTCTTGCCTGGTGTGGTGCCCACAACCACACACTTGAAGACCTGCATAGAGACACAAGACAGGTGGTGAATGAGGAATTGCAACGTGAATGACGGGCTCCTGGGGCATTGGTTATTTCAGACTCTAGTCCAAACATTCTCACCTCCTGTCTGCCTGCCCTGTCCCTCACCTTCTCAGATTTTCACCCTCCTCCTGCCTCCCTTGTCCTATGTGGGGCAATAGAAGTGAGTTTATTTAAAAGTGTTTTTTCTGTTTTGTTTTAATTCTCCTTCCACATTTTTGCTTCACATTTCCAGCACTGAAAATGAGTACGGGTCAGGGCAATGGTGTTCAGAAGGCAGATCCGGCTGTACTCAGATCTCTGCCTTCTGACATCTCCCCCCCCCCCTCCCTCAAGGGTGTCCATGTAGGGCAAAATCCATCACTTCTCAGACAGGGCAGGAATGTCCACAGCAACACTGCCACCTCTCTTCCTTCCCCGCATCTCCTGAAAGCCCACATTTTCCTGCAATGCAAGAGACAAATGATGCTCTAACGGCCTGAACGTTTTGCTCCATGCAACCGTCTCTGAACCCTCGATGGGTCAGAAGCCCCTCCTCCGCAATAGGTAGCAGATCCCCAAGAGCAAGCCCCTGCCCTCCTCCTCTGCAGCCTCCCCCAACCCTCTGCTCCCACAGCCCACCATTTCCGACTCCAAAATGGACGGAGGGTGGGGAAGAGACGCTGGAAACGCAGGCCTGGACCCTGCTGCAGGCTTCGCGGTGCCCCCTCAGTCTATCCCCCCTCCCCGCCAGAGGCCGCCCGCTCCCTAGTTATCCTGTCCACCTCCTAGATTATCCGAGCTGGTACCCATTTCCAACCCCTAGCCGCTCCGGAGCTCCTCCCCACAAACCCTCCATTTCTTGCACCAAAGGGGTGGGCGTAGGGGAAAGAAGTCCACAGAAGCCGCTCCTGGACCCTCCGGCATCTCTACCCTCCGCCTACGGCTCAATAGGCAGAGATGGATGCATAGGCATCCCCGGGGTCATGCATCCTCATCCTCACATTTCCTTCTGCCAGCAGCACAGACTTATCCATGGATGGCAGAGACAGCATTCCAGACCCCCTATCCCCAACACTCACACATTTTTATGCGCCAGAATGAATGGAGGGGGAGAGGCGAGTCGTATCTGGAAAGGAAACCCTATTCCCAGTAGTCTCTGTCCTCCCCCACCCCCACCCCAGGAGTCCCTGGTTTGTACTGACCTGCAGGGCTATAGGGCAGTTGCCCCTGAGCCCCTCAGCCTGAAGTCTGCCTTCCTCCACGGAAATAGGGAGCTGATACCTGGAGGAAAAGGACTACTGCACTCGTTGGCTCTGGATCACGTGAGGGAAACGTCACCAGTGGGCTCGGGTCCCTGGTTCCCCTCTAACCAGTAGAAAGTGCGTCAGGACTAGTCCATCTCCTCCCTGCACAACCCTGCCCGCGCTCCCGGCCTCACCACAGGAGGCCCCGCCACTCCTTTTGCTGGTGTGTGTGTGTGTGTGTGTGTGTGTGTGTGTGTGTCTTTGCCAACCCCAGAGGTGAAAAGTGGCGTCTTCTTACTGTGGTCGGTATTCGTCCTCCCGTGCTGCCTGTTTAACAGGGAGGGGTTGCAGCTTCACCAGCGCTACTAGCCATTGGTGTCTGTATCTCTGAGGAATCTTTCACCCCCTTTTAAGGCACCTACTCCCTCAGGCTTCTCCATCTAGCCACTGTGATGATTTTACCTGCCGTCTGGACCTTCACTTAGTACGGACATGGTGGGTTGTCAAATAGGTTATTCTTATAAGTTAAAAAAAATCAGAGTTATGTTCCTCTAAGGAGAAGAAATTGTTTCTGGTAGGAGAAAAGCAAGAGAAAACATGATTCCAAAGATATCCACCTCAGCCTGGGGACCAAATCAAGTTCATAGCACTCATTTTGAACATTTGAAAGAAGAATTTGATTAGTCAAATACATATATAACATTTCTTCAGACATAGCGGTTTCTTGTCCTGTTCCATTAAAAAATAAGAGAAAAGCAACCACATCCATTTCATGTTCCCAAACAATAGTTGAATGCTAAGTAGCCCTGCTGGAATATTGTGGCTACCACAAAGTCTCTTGTGAAAATTTGGCCCATAGCTATTTTCATTCAGAAACTTTGTTCTGGGCAAAAGGGAAAACTGTGCGCCTGAGGCAACTGAGGTCTAAGACGGCTGCAGAAATGCTCCGATTCTGCTCGCCTTATCAAAAAGTGCTGCTCCTCCCATTCCGCCCAGTCAGTCTCTCATCCCCTGCAGTCCATCCACTGACTGACTCACTCCAAAAATATCCATGGCCAGGTGACTGAGTGGGTGACCTGAGTAGATGCCTTTGGTTCCTTTCCTCCCTCTTCTCCCCAATTCCCTCAGACCTAATTCAACCTCAGCTTGGATGAGAGTGCTGTTGTCACCACTGGAAAGGAGAATGGGATTCTTTTCACACCTCTGCAGCTGTGGGTTTCTTTGAAGCCTGAAAAGTAAGTGATGGCTAGGGGGACAGATCCCAGTCCCTCAACCTCATCCCACTGAGCCTGCCTGTTCCCTGCCCCTTTTTACAGTGCCCAGATGAAGTCCTGCCTGGAAGCAGGCTCCTACTGCCTACCTGATTTAGGGACGCAGCCTGCTGGGTCTCTCAACTCCGGCTTTATCACCTTCAGCGCACCTACGAGGAGGGCTGTATGCTGCCTTCTGTTCATACCTCCACTGGTGCCCTCTCAACCAGAGTGGATTGACCTACATCAGCCGTTCTCTACTGAAAAAAGTCTGTAGACGGTCTGAAATGGTATACAAGGTTGCATGTATTTAGAGGGTTAGTGGAATATGTGCACTTCTGTGGGAAGAGGATTTGTGCCCCAGGAACCTGCGAAACCTTGAGATATGAGCAGATCGACCGTATGAACAAGCAGAAGTTATGGGGTCGAAAGAATGCGGAGGGAAGAAGCTACTGAGGAACAAGACGGGAAAGAGGAAGAGACAAACAGCAGCTGAGCCATGTTCAAAGGAGAGCATCTACATCTTGGGCTCAGGCCTCACAGAACTAGGGAGATACACGAATCCCCCAAAAGTAACACTCAAAAGCATGTGCAAGTATGTATATGGGGGCGGGGGGAGCGGAGTGATAGGAGACAAAAGTTAGTTTAGAAAGTACCGCCACGAGGATGCCTCATCATAAAATGCGTTTAAAATTGCCTCTGCATTCGGTAGATGGCTGAAGACAAATTCTCTCAGTAATGCACTGGTTTTTGTCTTGTTAGGTGTTTGTTTTTTTTAAGTCCAATCACAACCGTGGCTGTTGAGGGCATTTGCCATTGGATTCAAGGCAGAGAGTTCGGCTCAGAAAAGTATGCTAATTATGTTTTGGGATTCCAAAGGGGTAAACTGGATTGATTTTTCTCGAAGGACGTAGGACAATCTCAGGCCTTATTAGGAAGAAGTTTAAGAATACTGAAAACTACACTGGTGAGATAAAGGCCAGGAAAACACTGAAGACCCCCCCCCATGCATTTGTTCATTCTTTGAGGGTAGCAAGGGTTGTCCCAGAAGAATTTCATTGAGAAACCTTCCCTCATCTACCCTCCAGCCCTGATCTTGCTCCTTCAGGCTTCCTTGTGTTCCACAAACTCAAAGAACATTCAAAATGAGCATGATTCCAGTCCTTCAAGGATGCCTGGACTATTGTGTAAATCAGAGTGCAGCGTTCTTTGGGGCAGTGTTATTCAGATCAAAACATCACCTTCAGAAGTGTATAGACTTATATGGATGGTATGTTGAGAAACAATACTTGTACATTCCGATATTTTTATTTCATAAAGCTTTCTATTATTTGAGAGCAACACATTTTTGCTTTCATGTGTACATTTTTGATAGGTGTATACATTTGCTAGGCGTCCTGGTGGTACAGTGGTTACATGTTGAACTGATAAACGGGAGGACAGCAGTTTGAAGCCACCAGTCACTCGGAGGGCGAAAGAGAAATCATTTTTACTCCCGTAAAAAGATACAGTATCAGAAACCCATAAGGGCAGTGCTACCTTGACTTAGAGGGTTGTTGTGAGTTGAAAGCAACTTGTTGGCAGGGAGTTTGGTTTCTTTGATACAATTGCTGAGGAGAATGCTTATAGCTTTCATCCCATGCTCACAGGTGAAGGCTTACTGACCTAGAGAGTACCCTTTTATATATGCAGGTCCTGCCCCCCAATTTAAATTCAATTGCCATTAAAAAAACAAAAACAAAGGAAAACTTTTTTTATTGTGAATCAGAGGACAGTTTAAAGAGCAAATGAGTTTTTCCATTTCACAATTCATACATATTTTGTTTCATTTCATTGATTACAGTCTCCACAATGTAACATCCCTTATCCCACTTCCTCCCTGTGTTTTCCATTTTTATTTCTCCTTCCGTAATCCTTTTGAACTTTAACCTTGGGTAAATGCTGTCCTTTGGATTTGAAAACAGTAGCCTGTTGTTTTTTATAGTTTTGAATTTTTTCCCCACTTCCCCACCTCATTCTGTCTTCTAATGTGGTCCCTTTCAGAGCAGTTGGTAGTGGTAGCCAGGCACTATCTAGTTCTTTGGGTTTCAGGATCGTGGGGACTGATGTTCCTGTGATCGTTAGTCCACTGGATTGTTTCCATGGAACTTAGATTTTCTTCACTTTTCTTTGCTCTGGATGGAGAGAGACGACTATAGATGGGCGCTGATGAGAGCCCAGTGACTGCTCACTAAAGTAGAATGTAGAACATTGTCTTTGTGAACTGTATTATGCCACTTGATTTTGATGGCTTCTGATCAGAGCCTCCAGATACAATGAACTATTCTCTTAAAAATATATATTATTGTTTAGAAAATGGTGATGGTAACATATGTACACATATGCAATTGATGTATGGAATGTTAAAGAGGTATAAGAGCTCCCAATAAAATAATCTTTAAATATGTATAAAGTACAAAAATTATATGCCATGCATACAATATTTGAATATATGTAACAAAAAACTGAGAACGAAATATTACTAATTATTTTATACTTTCAAAAATTTCTAAAACAGCCAAAATTATTTGTTAAAAATGTTTTTATATCATTTTATTGGGGCTTATACAACTCTTATCACAGCCCATACATACATCAATTGTGTAAAGCACACTTATACATTTGTTGCCCTCATCATTTGCTTTCCGCTTGGGTTTCTGGAATCAGCTTCTCAGTTTCCGTTTTCCCCTCCCCCCTCCCCCTCCCTCATGAGCCCTTAATAATTTACAGATTATTATTTTATCTTATCGTTCACTGCCCGGTGTCTCCTTTCACTCACTTTTCTGTTGTCCATCCCCCAGAGAGGAGGTTATATGTAGATCCTTGTGATCGATTCCCCCTTTCTACTCCCGCTTCGCTCTTGATATCGCCACTCTCACCACTGTTACGCACCATTGTCCTATCAGACTCCTAGTGACACTATGAACAACACACAAGAAACCCTGCCTGGTCCTGCACCATCCTCACAACAGTTCTTATGTTTTTTTGTTTTTTTATATGGATCATTTTATTATCTTATATATATATATATTTTTTCCATTTCTTTTTTTTTTTAAACATTTTATTAGGGGCTCATACAACTGTTATCCCAATCCATACACACATCAATTGTGCAAAGCGCATTTGTACATCGTTTCTCAAAACATTTTCTCTCCATTTAAACCCCCAACATTAGGTCCTCATTTTTCCCCTCCCTCCCCGCTCCCCGCTCCCGCATGAGCCCTTGATAGTTTATAAATGGGTATTTTGTCATATCTTGCCCTCAGTTCTTATGTTTGAGCCCCTTGTTGTACTTACTGTGTCAATCCATCTTGTTAACGGCCTTATTTATTTAAATACCTTTATTTTTTGAAACCATTTATTGGGAGTTAATACAGATATCATATCAATCCATATTTTAATCACATCAAGCAGTATTATACTATCTTAATAGATGTAAAATGGTATCTCCTGGTGGTTATTATTTGCATTTTCCTAATAGAGTCCTGGTGATTCTATTTAGTAAGCCTGGTGGTTCTTTGATAACTGTTAACTGAAAGTTAAAACCCATTAGATGCTTTTTGAGAGAAAGATAAGGCTGTTTTTTCCAGTAAAGATTTATAAAGCCTCTGAAATCCTTTATAGCAGGGGTGCTCAATACATCGATCACGATCTACTAGTCAATCGCAAATGTAGTGTGGGTAGATCGCATGACATTAAAAAAATAGACGTGAGCCTATCATCAATCCTGTCAATTAATTGATATACAGAGCAGCCAATCAGATGCAATCTTAGGTGTCAAATGCATGCACAAACAACTGCTCTAAGTGCAGCAAAACTGACAAGCTAAGTTATCGCCAATCTTTAGACCTTGTTT